ATATACAACTGTAGAATAAAAAGGATAATTACTCAGCATATGTAAAAGGCTGTGTGAGTGAAAATCTACTAAATAAAGAACACAAAATCCAAGGTAGGGTCAGAGAGAAATTAATAATGCAGGACTCAACAACAAAGTATATTTACTAAGTTTTGTGATGGGAGCAAAACAATTTACTTGCCCTTCTGTATCTGTTAAATACTGAGTGACAAAGGAATCTCAGGTATGCTGTTCCTGATGTTCTTGTCCAGGAACAGCATGTTGTCCTGCAATATTATTTATTTTTGATAGTGTTTGGCGATGCAAATATAGATCTGCAAGAATAAGCATCTGGATGGATGTGCCAGACCTGCCTGCACCAGAACCAGTTCTGTATTTCCCCTGCACAAGCACATCGCTATGCAAGACACCTTCCAGCACACTGACTCCACTTATCTCTGTACGAGCTCTGAGGAAAGTCTGCTCATACATTGTATGTTGCAGGCACAGGACCGTAAAACCAAAATCGCACAGTACAAGCAGCAGCCAAGGAGTGCCATTCAATTCCAGACAGTGCCATTCCACAGCCTCGTTACAAGCTGCATCTCCAGAGCAGCAAAGGGAATTACATGGCCATCACTGCAGGAGAGCCTGGCTGAACCCTGCAGAGCTAGGTCAAGGTTCTTCTTCTCTTGGAATTGTGTCACCAAAAGAAAAACATAATAAAGAAGTAATAGCCTTTTTATGATCAACAGTTCTGTCCATCCAAAGAAGCAAACACTGTAATTTAAGAACTGGAGTACCAATCTAGACTGAGAAGCATTTTCATATCATATTAATACAGGTTCTAGATGGACAGGGAGCTTAAAGTGGATGTGCCAGACCTGCCTGCACCAGAACCAGTTCTGTATTTCCCCTGCACAAGCACATCGCTATGCAAGACACCTTCCAGCACACTGACTCCACTTATCTCTGTACGAGCTCTGAGGAAAGTCTGCTCATACATTGTATGTTGCAGGCACAGGACCGTAAAACCAAAATCGCACAGTACAAGCAGCAGCCAAGGAGTGCCATTCAATTCCAGACAGTGCCATTCCACAGCCTCGTTACAAGCTGCATCTCCAGAGCAGCAAAGGGAATTACATGGCCATCACTGCAGGAGAGCCTGGCTGAACCCTGCAGAGCTAGGTCAAGGTTCTTCTTCTCTTGGAATTGTGTCACCAAAAGAAAAACATAATAAAGAAGTAATAGCCTTTATGATCAACAGTTCTGTCCATCCAAAGAAGCAAACACTGTAATTTAAGAACTGGAGTACCAATCTAGACTGAGAAGCATTTTCATATCATATTAATACAGGTTCTAGATGGACAGGGAGCTTAAAGAGTATCTTCTTTTTGTGCTGCAAGATATGAATAATCACAGTCTGTTTTTTAAAAGCCAAATAGAGGAAAAAAACCAGTACCAATAATAAACAGTATTCAGCGGAAAGATGAGGAAGAAAAACATATAAAGTATATGACAGCTAATACATTTAGAATCATCTTTGGGCGAGTCAGTGAAATTCAAAGGTACGTTGGTTTGCTATAGTTGTTGGCTCTGCAATCCACAGAAGTATAAGATCCAAGAAATAAAACAGAGGTGAATAGAATCGTAGAATCATAGAAACATTTAGGTTCAAAAAGACATTTAAGATCATTGAGTCCAACCTTTAACTTAACACTGCCAAGTCCCACCAAACCATGTCTCTAAGTGCCACATCTACATATCTTTTAAATACCTCCAGGGATAGGGACTCAACCACTTCCCTGGGCAGCCTGTTCCAATGCTTGACAACCCTTTCATTGAAGAATTTTTTCCTAATATCCAATCTAATCCCCTCCCCAGTGCAACTTGAGGCTGTTCCCTCTCGTCCTGTCACTTGCTAGAGAAAAAGAGGTACTGGAAGGCTGCTATAAGGTCTCCCAGAGCCTTCCCCTTCTCCAGGCTGAACAACCCCAAGTCTCTCAGCTTGTCTTCATAGGAGAGGTGTTCCAGCCCTCTGATCATCTTCACAGCCCTCCTCTGGACCCACTTGAGCAGTTACATGTCCTTACTTATGTTGAGGGCCCCAGAGCTGAATGCAGGACTCCAGATGAGGTCTCACAAGAGCAGAGTAGAGGGGTAGAAATCACCTCCCTTGGCCTACTGGTCACACTTCTTTTGATGCAGCCCAGGATACATTTGGCTTTCTGGGCTGCAAGCTTACATTGCTGAGTCATGTTGAGCTTCTCATCAACCAGCACCCCCAAGTCCTTCTCTTCAGGCTGCCCTCAATCCATTCTCTGCCCAGCCTGTATTTGTGCTTGGGATTGCCCCAACCCACATGCATGGGATGCACTCATGAATGCTAAGGGAAGTTGGCCAAAGTCATTGTGAGGCCACTCAATCATGTGAAAGGTCATGATGATCAGGAGATGTTCCTTATGATGGGACGAAAGCAAATATTGTTTCTGTCTACAAAAAGGGCAGGAGGAAGAGGATCAAGGAATCAAAGGCCAGTCAACCACACCTCACTCCCTGGGAAGGAGTTCTGGAAACCATTTCCAAACATAACAAGGACAAGGAGGTGACTGACAGTAGTCAACATGGATTGACAAAGGGGAAAATCATGCCTAATTAACTTGTCAGCTTTCTATGATAAGACGACTGGCTTGGTGGATGATGGGAGGGCAGTCGATATTGTTTACTCTGATTCTAGCAAGGCTTTTGAAACTCTCTCCCGTAACACCCTCACAGACAGAGGAAGTATGAGTTAGATTAATGGACAGTGAGCTAGACTGAACTGCCTGGATCAAAGGGTTATGATCAGTGGCATGAAATCCAGCTGGAGGCCCATCCATTGCTAGCAGTGCCCCTCCTAGGGTCAGTACTGAGGCCTGTCATGTTTAACATCTTCATTACTGACCAGGAAGACAGGACAGAGTGCACCCTCAGCAAGTCAGCAAATGATACAAAACAGAGGGGAATGTTCATACACTAGGTGGCTGTGCTGCCATTCAGTGAGACCTCTGCAGGCTGGAGAAGTGGGCTTACAGGAATCTGCCAAAGTTCAACAAAATCCTGCACCTGGGAACACCCATGCACCAGTACAAGCTGGGAGTTGACCAGGTTGGCAGAAAAGGACCTGGAGGTCCTGGATGGACAAGCTGAAAGCGAGCAATGTGTCCTTGCAGCAAAGACAACCAAAAGCCTCCTGCATTAGGGAGAGGATTGCCAACAACTTGAGGGAGGTGATCCTTACACTATTCTCAGCTCTGGTGAGACACACCCAGAGTGCTGTGTCCAGCACTGGGCTTCCCAGTTGAAGACAGACACTGAAGCAAATCAAGCAAAGCCCTGTGAAGATAATTATGGGACTGGAGCATCTGATATAAGAGGAGAAACTGAGGCAGCCAGAATTGTTTAGCTGGGAAAATGCTCATGGTGCATCTTACCAATGTGCATAAATACTTGATGGAGGCAGTAAAGAAGACAGAACCAGATACTTCTAAGTACTGCCCAGTGAAAGGACAAGAGGCAACGTGCAAAAACTGAAACACAGGTATTTACATTTAAATGTAAGAAAAACTTATTTCACTGTAAGGGAGATTGACCCCTGGAACATGCTGCCCACAGAGGCTGTGGAGTCTCCATCCTTGGAGATACTCAAAACCCAACTGCACATGCTCCTGTGCAGCCTGTTCAGTTTGACCCTGCTTTGTGCAGGAGGGTTGGACCACACGGTCTCCAGAAGTCCCTTCCAATCTCCACAAGCCTGTTAAAAGGCATTAATAAGTTACTCTCTTTCAGTGGACTCCCTTCTGACATCTTTCTCCGCAGTTTTACTCAGGTGCCTATTAGTTTGGGCTTGTAAGTGTTTTACCTGTGCTCCTCTCAGTCACCTCCTACTCAGATTTGACACTAAAAATCCACAGTCCTTCATCAAAGTTGTCCCAGACTTGGAGACTTCAGAGACTCTTTAACTTTACATGTATGTTACACAAAGGACATATTGTTCAATTTCACAGAAAACTTCAGATATCTGGCTCAGAAAGGTATTTCAACATAGAAATAATCCCAATGACTTACCTATTTAAATTTAGCAATGAGCTTTAGCACCTTGCACAAGTGGACTTTTAACACACAGGGACCAAACCAGCACTTGCTGTGGTCTTTGAACACTTCCCCAAACCAGTGTGAGCACTAAGAGCCAATGGGGCTCAGAGACCCTCTCAGGGTCATACTTTCACCCCAAAATACCATACCTATAGGTTGATAGATATGTATGGTACATATATACCATACCTATATGTAGATACCATACCTATATATGTACCATACATATAGGTATGGTATAAACACACACCCCCTCCCCCCACATACATATATATGTATATCACACACACACACACACATATATATGCTCTTCAGCTGAGCACAGGAAGACACATTTTGAGCAGGTTGGGTGCAGAGTGCCTTAGCAACAGTGTATCAGACCAGGACTTGTAAGCCATGGAAAAACTTCCAAATTAGAGAAATTTGAAGCTGATGACATAGCTGAGGACTCAAGTCAAGGGGGGTCCTGTCTATGAACTCAACAGTGGCTTCATTCTCAGCCTCTACGCTCTCCAACTAGCCACAGTAAGAGGTGCGGCAAAGCAGCACCACAATCAACTACTGGGGAAGAAGGCAACTAAAAATCACAGCAGGGACATTCTGGTGTACTCAAGTAAGGAAACCTGGTCATCCTGGATCAATGTACTAGATCTTGAATGACTATCTCTTCTTTTTGCTTAAAAAGGGCCACAGACAAAGCCATCATACAAAAAAATCCAAGATAACATTTAACATCACAAAACAACTGCTATGTAGAATGTCATTAGTTAGTATACAAGGCGAGATAAATTTTATCCAGCTAGCAAATGGTAAGTATTTATAGCTCTCCATAATTGTTTACTAGGAAAAATCATTGTGAAATCAAAATAATAGTAGAAGCGCCAAACCTTTAAGCCTTTCAACATCTGATATACCAGGAACTGGATTCGGTCTTCAGTTAGTTTCTCATGCTTCATTATCTTACTCAAGTCTGTTCCCATAAATGGCATGACAAGGTAGCTTAAAAAAAAAAAAAAGGAAAGAAAAAAGGACAGAATAACTTTAATTTGTCAAATAAATTGAAACATAATTGTATATTATAGTTCAGTGACAATATTAAAGTATAAATCATTCAATTTACCAAACAATTCAATTATCACCCCCCTGCCTTCCAAGTTTCTCTGGTTTTATCTATTTTTATTGTCATAAAGAGGTGTTGCCCAGCCCTGTCACTGATTATGGAAAGTCGCTAGTTATCAGAAGAGTGCCAATTCTGAACTAGTTAGAAAGAACCTAACCAAGAGCCATGTGATATTTCAAAGACACCTACATAGAAAATGAAGACATTCACACAATGCTATGTATCTCACAATCATAATCATAGCGTTGACCTAGCAGCAACCAAACTGCCTAAGATGGTTCATTCAAATAGACTAGGTCAGATGTAACAGAAATAAAGTTGATCAAATTAGGAGGCAGCAATAACTTCCATTAATTTTCATCTGGGATGATAAACTGGGATCTTCGGTACTTAATACTGGTAAGGGACACCAGCAACAGAAAGTTTGAGAATGCCAAGCTGGTATTTCAAGGCTAATCTTCACTTAAGATCCAAAACTGTTCTTCACATTGCTTGTAGTAAACTCATCCTTCAGAGTCTATCCTTGAAGTCAGGTCTGAACACAGACAGAGCCAGTCACGTCTGGCATCTGAAGATAAAATCATCAGTTTTCCTCTTCTTACAAAGACGAGCAGATGCATTTTCATGAAGGGAAGAATTAGATATGATCATTGTTCAGTAGCTATAAATTTCATTATTTAGACTTAAATGGGTTTCGTCTGGTTAAAATATGCAAATTATAATTCTGCTGATTTCTACTATTAAACCTGTATGAAAATTTCATTTGTTCTATTAGAATTGAAACTATGAACAAAATAGAAATTGAATATAGAGTCGTAAGGGAGATGAGACACTGATTTAGACACGAGGAGTTATAGGTGAAATTTTCAGTATTTCCTAGGTACCAAACATTTTTTCCCCACATCTTTGGGGATCAGGACTCAGGCTTCCAGGCCCAGCATTCACAGACAAATTTGCTACCCTTTGGATACAAAAGATGAGCAATTTAATTCTGTAACTATATAAGGACAAAGCAAATATGGAGAAGAGAATGACATTTCTTCTCTCTCTCCAGTGTAACACACAAAATGTTTCCCATCAAGGCAGCAGGTGACTTAGAAAATGGAGTTTAACTTCTTTGTAGATGTTCCTGACTGTTGAAAGCATACTAAGTTCTACCCCCACTCAGACTTACTAAATACATTTTCCTAGAGGTCATGAATATTTGGAATGAGCCATAAAAAAAACCAACAAAACTTTAATCATAGAATCATAGAATGTTTTGAGTTGGAAGGGACCCCTAGAGGTCATCTAGTCCAACCCCTTTAGTGACTGTTCTAGGAGGTGGGGCAAGAGAAATAGAGAAATATCTACACATCTTTTACTACTGGTAGTGACCTTCAAGCATTCATGAGGATTTTGCTCGCCTGCCATCAACTGTACAAATCCCAAAGCTCTGGATGGATGGTGATCTATGTAAACAGACAAAGTTCAAAACAATATCTAACCATTAAGCACTGTAAAGAACAAGATGAGAAGGACAAATAAGACTATTTTTACATACGCACAATTTGCTAAGTTTACAAATTGATGACTTCAAATCTCTTGCAGTCAAATCAGAGAGGTCTAGGTGGGTGGAGGAACAAACAAAATGTGAAAGAGGGAAAACCTGCTCCTATCTGAGTTTGAAAATCCAAGCTTTAGTAACCACTTATGAGCAACACAATGGAACAGGACAATGGGACCAAACGCTATGGGCTCACTTTTAACACTTTGCCTACTACTTAAAACTTGGCAAACTTATTTTTATTACTAAAAAATATATTTACAATCCACAGCTGAAATCCTCAAATAAGCTGAGGAGGTTAGGCACCTGATTAATAATTCACTTCAATGGGAACTTGATGCCTAATGCATTTAAGTTCTTTGCAAGTTTTCCAGTTAAAACCCAAAATTCTTACACAATGAGGAGCAGCAACTGTTGTGGCACACTGTGTATGATACAAGCACAGACAATGCAAGGAATAGAGATGAAGGAGGTGAAAAGCAGCTGGTAGAGTGGGGCTTGAATTGGTGAAGATTTATGCATTTCTGATTTTGTACACCACAATCAGCTGAACCTCTAAAACTGAAGGAAGTTCAACACAAACATGAGCAGGGAAAGGACACTTCATAAAGGAAATGGGGCGTTGTCTTCAATCCTTGTTACACTGACTGGCAGAGGAGCAGGAGAACAGAGCAGCAGGTAGCGCAGGAGCATGCTAGGGCTTGAAGTTGTCTGAGACCTTGGGTTTCTTAGTGAATACCAACTTCAGGGACTGGATCTGGTGAAACCACCAACCTTGCTTCTGCTGCTTCTAGCCACAAATCCACTTTAATTTGATCTTTATACAATAGGCCACAGATAACGTCTCATGACTAGTCAGCAAAAAGAAAGTCTCCCTCAAATGACCCATTTGACCTTTAATTAACAAAAGCAGTTTTTCCACTTTTGTTTTCAGTGTACACACATCTACCTCTGCTCATCTCTTAACAGCTTGCCCAAAGTCTTGAAAGAAAATTTTGCCATAGGTCCACCTCATGCACTTTCAGTTATAAAAAATGTCCCTCCTACTTGACTTGCATCACCAAAACTTGAAGGATGATTTTAGGGCCCCATTTAAAACACAGAGCTTGAATGCTAATCTTATTTATGTGTGTTTTATTACATATGCTATATAAAATGCTAGCACAATAGGCAATTTGGACAACATCTTTTCTGGCCCAAATGATGAATATGAACACACGGTCCATGTTTTCCGTACTTCATTTTCTACATTTTCCTGTTAGATAGCTTTCTTTGTCAACATATAAATATGCAAGTTTGTTTTTGAAACATCGTTACACTAGATGAAATCTAGAACAGAATGTAACAACATGTTGTAACAACAACCCCATGCAATGCTGCAGGCTTGGGA